GAGTTCAAGGAATTCTTCCGCCTCAGCCTCCCCAGTAGCTGGGACTACACGCACCCACCACCACACCCAGCTAATTTTTGTATTTTCAGCAGAGATGGGGTTTCACCATGTTGACCAGGACCAGGATGGTCTCAAACTCCTGGCCTCAAGTGATCTGCCCGCCTCAGCCTCCCAGAGTGTTAGGACTGATTACAGGTATAAGCCACTGTGCCAGCCCTCCCCTGATGGGTGTTTTAAAGGGTTCCTCCTGGCTTTCACTGAGAATCAATACAAGAAAATGGCCATATCAAGAAAGTACCTGCATTTTCTGTAAGTCCTTTGTTAAAGACACTGGAACTTGTTTTATCTCATTTTCCTCATATGAGGATCCAACCCAACCTCCTCTGAGAATTCAGCACCAGAATCCTGGAAGCTCACTACACTCATTCTGTTTGGAAAGCAGGAAGCTCAGCCCCAAGTGAAAGCAGGAAGCTCAGCCCCCAGTGAATGCTCACTCACTGCCACTTTCAAGTGAGAAGTTGAGAATGACAAATGTGATGGCCTCTTAGGATACAGATCTTGCTAGTGCTGTATTTATGGCTGGATGGTCTTGTGAGACCCTGGGGACACAGCTGCTAAAGGACCAACCCTTGTGGCTGCAGGACCCAGGATGTGGAGTCAAGATTTTGCCTCCAGAAGCCAATCCAAAGGCTATCCTCCAGGCTTCTTATTCAGGGTATGCACTACCTGAGACATAAGAGCCACAAAAAGCCACAAAGCAAACATGAGTGTCTTCCTCAATAAGCAGGACTTTCTGTCTGTGGCACACTATAGTTCCTCTCAGGTGGAGAATTCGTTTTATTTATTCTGTTCAGAACTTGCTCCATTTCCAAATCTGAGATTTTTTTTCACTTTCTGGTAAGCCTGTTAACTCCCTCTTGACAACTGCCCTGCAGCATATCCTCTTGGGGGGACTCCTCCCTCTTACCTCGTCTTCAGCTGCACCTCCTCACCTCTGTGGCACTTTGGCCAATTCTGTAGACGGAATGTTCTTTTCATCTGGCTCTGATCTGCTCCCTGAAATGCTTGCTGACTTTTAAACTGAAATGATTATTTTTCTTTTCTAAAAGTATTTTTTCTTGGTTCATTTCCAAATCTGTCTGGTCTTTTTTGATGGTTTATTATTCTTTTAATTTCTATTGAGATATAATACATATATCATAAACTTCACCACTTTTTAGAATTTATTAGCCTTTAGTATATTCATAAGGTTATGAAACCATCACCACTGTCTAATGCCAGAACATTTTCATAATTCCAAAAAGAAACTTTGTATCCATTGGTAATCACTCCTTATCCTCCCTCCCCCAGGCCCTGTCAACCACTATTATTCCACTTCTTTATGGATTTTCCATTCTGGATATTTCCTGTCAATGGAATCATACAATCTATGATCCTTTGTGACTGGCTTCTTTCTCTTAGCATAATGCCTTTAAGGTTTATCGTTACTGCAGCACGGGTAAACATTCCATTCCTCTTATTGCTGAATAATATTCTATTGTATGGATGGACCATATTTTATTTATCTATTCATCAGCTGATGGACCTTTGGGCTGTTTCCACTTTTTGGTTACTATGAACAGATGTGAACATTTATGTATGAGTTATTGCATGGATATACGTTTTCAATTCTCTTGGGTATGTATTTAGGTGTAGGAACTGCTGGGTGAGATGATAACTCTATATTTCACCATTTGAGGAATTTCCAGACTGTTTTCCAAAGGTGCTGAAAGACTTTATATTACCATCAGCAGTCTATGAGTGCTCAAATTTCTCCCTATCCTCACCAACACTTCTTATTATCTGACTATCTGATCTGTTAATTAGAGACCTCCAAATGGGTATGAAGTATTAGTTTTGCTTTGTATTTCCCTGATGGCTAGTGATGTTGATTGTCTTTTTATGTGCTTGTGATTTGTATATATTCTCTGCAGAAATTTCTATTCAGATCTTTTGCTCATTTTAAAACTGTGTTATTAGTCTTTTTATTGTTGATCTGTAAAAGTTCTTTATATAATCTGAATTCTGAACTCGAGATAAAGTTTTTCTCTTTTGCCCAGGCTGGAGTGAAGTGGCGTGATCTCTGCTCATTGCAACCTCTGCCCCGAGTTCAAGCGATTCTCCTGCTTCAGCCTACCAAGTAGATAGGATTACAGGCACTTGCTACCACACCTGGCTAATTTTTGTATTTTTTGTAGAGATGGGGTTTTACCACGTTGGCCAGGCTGGTCCCCAACTCCTGACCTCAGATGATCCGCCCACCCTGGCCTCCCAAAGTTTTAGGATTGCAGGCATGAGCCACCACACCCGGCCAAGCTTTTAATTTTTAAAATATTTTGTAGAGATGAGGTCTTGTCATGTTGCTCAGGCTGGTCTTGAATTCCTGGCCTTTCTGTCTCAGCCTCCCGAAGTGCTAGGATTATAAGCATGAGTCATTGTGTCCAGTCAAAAGTTTTAAATTTTGATGAAGTCCAATTTGTTGATTCTTTCCTTTAAGTTGCTTATGCATTAGGTGTCATATCTAAGAAACTGTTGCCTAATCCAAGGTCACATAGATTTCTATCTATATTTTCTTCTAAGAGTTTTATAGTTATGCTCTGACATTTAGTTCTTTGATCCTTTTAATTCTGGTTATGGAATAGAATATTTAATCTTTCCTCACATTTTGTTTTAGCTTTCATGTCTTTCAAGACTTAAGCATATTTTGTATTTTGTAAGCATATTTGTCACTCTCTGACAATTCTATGATAACAGGTTTATAGGAACCTAAGTCTCTCAGTGAGTACGTCTCCTGACATTTGTATATGGTAGACTGTTTCTTCTTGTGATTTTGGATTTTATGTTCATCTAAGCAGTGCTTTATCAGTGGTAATGCTGTACACCTGGGCCAGGGAATGTCCCTGAGGGGTGGATACGTATCTCTGCCAAGTGCCTCTGGATGTCAGGTATACCAGGGTCTCCTTTGTTTCATTTCTCAGCTTGGTGATTTCTAGACAACACAGGTAGTGTTAAACTGGCCCTGAATCCACACGAGGGCAGGCCTGTGGTTACACAGCCTCAAGGGAAGACTGTTCTCCCAAACCCAAAACAGGTTAAGACATTCTAATTTCTCTGCTAGTTCTTGAGCTGCCAGCTGGGTTTTCCTAGTGTCTGCCTCAGTCCTTTTTTAAGCAGCCTGACTTTATGCTGGTGACTTAATTCCAACCCCTTAGACCCAAAGCTTTGTCTCAACTCAGTATGAGACATTAAAATGCAAGGTCCTCAGTCAAGACCTCCAGCTTTGCACCCACGGGGCAGTCCTGCCTGCTACTCTGGATTTTTTGTTCACTCTTGGATTTTAGATTCTGGGGACTGCCCTTTCTTGTGAACTAGTCATTCATTTTGGGGACAAAAATTGCATTTAATCTAGTACTTCAAAGTATTTTAGAAGCAGGGAGGCTGAGGCGGGTGGATCACCTGAGGTCCGGAGTTCAAGACCAGCCTGGGCAAATTGGTAAAACCCCGTCTCTATTAAAAATACAAAAAATTAGTCAGGTATGGTAGTGGGCACCTGTAATCTCGGCTACTTGGGAGGCTGAGGCAGGAGACTTGATCGAACCTGGGAGGCAAAGGTTGCAGTGAGTAGAGTAGCTAGGACTATAGGCATGTCCCACCACACCTGGATAATTTTTTTCTGGTAGAGATAGGGTTCTCACTATGTTGCAAAGGCTGGTCTCAAACTCCTGCCTTAAGCGATTCTCCTGCCCTGGTCTCCCAAAGCATTAGGATTACAGGCATGAGCTACCACACATGGCCTGCACTGAGCTTTTAATTACCAAACAAGCATGATTAGATCACAACAGAGTAGACTACAAGATTCCACACTAAGTTTATAGATATAGCATCAAACTTTCAGAAAGGGTTCTTCCATGGTAGCTTCCAGGAACTGTTTTCCAAGGAGAATAAATCCTTTCCAGACATGCAGCTTTGGACAGAGCTTTTCATAAGCAAAGCCCCAGAGACAGCATACTGTAGCTTTAGCTCCAAATCACCATCTACTGCAAAAACAGATCAAATACAAATGTTCCTTTTATTGGGCACCTGCTGGCTGTGTGGCTACTGTAAGTTTCTGACCTTGTACTTGGCTGATGGTGGCACAGGCTAGGGTATGCCTGCCCAGGGCTGCCGAGCCCTCTGAACCTTGCACTGGGATGCAACTCTGAAGGGATTGCTCTTAAGCCCTTAAGCCCTTAAGAGGCCAGCCTACATCTACCTCTCCTCTCCTAGGCTCTGACTCACTGGGATGTGAACCGAGCTTCTTGTCATGGCAGGCTTGGAGGAAGGGGCCCTCTCAGGAGGCAGAGGCTGTAGAGATTCACTCTGGCCACCTCAGGACGATGCACTACCACAAACTCCAAGAAATAAAGAACTACAGTGTGCATGATGTCACAACTGTGTTTGAGGGGAGGCCCAGGGAATGGACAAGTAGCCTAGCGTCCACAAGAGCTCAGAAGCCAGTATGACTTGACAAAGACCTCACCTACCTCATTTTTATTGCAGCTCTCTACCTCTGGTCAGTTTCTGAGTGGAAGGCCATCACTTCCAAGGTGTACCAGTATCAGAGCCTTCCACCTCTCCGACTAATCTCTTGCCCTCTTCTGAGCAAACTCTGGGCTCCAACCAAACACCATTATTCTCAGTCCAGCCTCTGTACTGACCAATTCTTGTGTCTTTGCCCTTGTGGTTCTTGTGCTGTGTCTTCCCCCACGGCTTCCAGCCACCTTCCCACTTGAAGCAACCACCCCTTTCTCCTTGGAGCTGGCGGCTCACTAAGGGCTCTGCATTCTTGCTCCCATGCATTGAGTGGCTAGAGTCTTTTCCCCAACAGGAAGGCAGGCTGCTTGGTAGGAACACTGCCACTGTGCTGTTGACCCATGCCTGCACCCTCCCTGGCCCGTCAGGGTCCTGCAGCTACCACCTACCTTTCCATGGCTGTTGGGGTCACGCTGGTCAGGGCAGGAGCGCCTGGCGTGGCTTTGGATCGCTCTGTGAACCGGGAGTCAAATGCTTTCATGGGTTCAATCTTGGACGGGGTCGTTAACACAGAAGGTGACAATGCAGCAGGAGTAGAGGTAGCATTCATACTGGGGTGAAGAAGAGGGGAGGCATGTCAAGCACAATCCTAAAAGGATCTGGAGGTCTAGTATTTGCAATATTTGGAGACTACTAAAAAAGGCACAAATATCAAACTTTCATAAACACAAAAAATTTCAAGATACAATCTATTATTCCCATTCCTTTAAAATGTTCAAGTATTTAAAGTTCTGGACACCTAGAAAGTTTTGAGCAAATGCATTCACATCTCCCCCTTTGCATTGTTTTGACAGCTTTTGAGGGTAGCATGAGGCCTAGAACATGGTTCTTACAACCCTTTTCTCTAGTCATACTACCTTATCTCCACAACTTGAATATAGCATCTCTACTCCAAACCACTCCAACCACTCACATTTCCCACTTAGAAAATGAGTCTCGTGAGATAAGCCTGTACCTGGCCTTTACCCTCAGAGCCAGGCATCCTCCATCCTGGGTGCCCCTCCCATCTCTCCCTGTGACAGTGTCACATACTTAGCATTATGCTCCAAGTACTCATCACACAGTTTTCGTCTTCTATTCCACAGATAAAGGAGAGGCCAGGCAGGAGCCTGCCTGGTCCATCCTCCATGGCCAAGCCCACACCACATGCAGGGACCAAGGCCACTGGGCCTCCTCCTGTGCACACCCAGGCTAACACCTTCCACTCACATCTGCCCAGACCCTACACCACATGCCTGGTAGTCACCCTGGACACCCCTTTTCTCCTCCTCCATGACCTGTGGCCACTAGAATATGCCATCCCCAAAGCAGTTCTCAGATCTGGCATGGTCTGTCCTTCCGAGGCCCCCTTCCTCACAGGATGCTCTGCTTCCTCACTGGTCTTGCTGCTCAGTCTTCTCTTCCTACCCCCTGAGGGTTCCCTCAGGGCAGTGACCTAATGTTTGGGCATGCTTCCACAGCCATGGTGCTAGCACCCAGAAGTAGAAGGCTGCGTAACACAAGACTCCATTACACCAATGAAGAATCACTCTGATGGAATCAGCTGTATGTGCCAGGGAGTGGCTAATTTGGGGCACCATTGCCTACTCGAGTCACTTTCATAAAATGGAGGTCTCAAAGCCTTCTATGTCTCCACTCTGGGGAAAAGCCCAGACTACTTGGTCCAGCATAGACACCGAGGCCTTCTCCCCGTTTTGGGCCTTCCTCAGGGGATTGGGGGGCTGCTATCCCTAATCCCCATGCCACATCCCCTGGCGGGCCTGTATGAGCCCTGCACAGGGCACCCAGAGGCACCTCCCTGATCCCTGAGACACCAGCCCCACTCCAGATGGCTAGCCATTTCTACCCAGGGGATCTGGGGGGCCACCTGCAACCCTGTGGCTGCCTCTCCCCAACCAGCCTACACACTCCCTGAGGACGAGGACCCACCAATTAAGCCCCTGCAATGCCTGGGGCCTAGCACGGCATGTAACCCAAAGCAAGTGCTAGGCAAATGTTCACTCCTGGCTCTCATTCGTGCTTGCCGGTATTTTTTCTGATTTCTAATTTTGTTTCCAAGTAAAGAGGGGTGATGACTCAGGCTCTCTAAGTGAATATAATTCTGAGAGTATGAGGGGAGTCTGTGACCTCCCACAGGAGCGCCCTACCTGGAATGAATGCTGTGTGGTGTGCCCAGCAGAGTGAAGTGGATGCTGAGGCCCCAGAAATGTCAAGTACTTCCAGTGTAGAGCTGCCAGAAGGTGGGACTGACCCTGCTGCACATAGCACTTCACAGGTAGTTCCCACCTGTAGCAGCCTGACCCTCAGTCAGCCTTGATACACTCTTTGTGAAATTCTCATGGTCCTGTGCATCAGAGACTCACTAAGCAAGTCATCCCCTCTGAGAAGTCCCCATTTCATATCACACCACACACGTTTTTCTTCCTTTATTCATTGAAGGGGACAAAAAGCGCAGAGTAAAATTCTCTATCCCCAAAATTATGTGCAAACCTCAACTTTCCCCAAGGACAGGAACAAGCCTTGGCACCCACTAACCTGTCCTTATTGACAGAATCGCCTGCAGGTCTGGCACTGGCAGCCACCACAGGCTCTGTACAAGGCTTCGAGGCGCCGAAGGAGTTAGGGGTACTGGAGTCCAGTGGCAGTAGCTGTGGACTGCTATGAGAAGAGAGCATGGTGCCCGCCAAGGAGCCCGAGAGGGGGATGCTGTTAAAGAATGCCGTGGAGAAGTCCCTGTCATCAAGTAAGAACAAAAGTCAGCCTTGAAAGTCAGGTAATTTATACATTCAGTAATTTATACATTCAGTAATTTATACATTCAAATAACTTTCTTTCTAGGTCCAAAGGCAATGTTTTCATGATAGAAAATTTGCAAAGTTACAGAAAAGTAAAAAGAAATTCAAACCCACTTAATATACTATATTTAATTGAATCTAGGATTTACAGGTTCTATATGTACTGCTAAGAAAGAAAACAATGCTGCTACTTGTCAGATGCCATTGATTGTACAACACACCCTAATCTCAGAGGTGTTAAACTATGCAAACACATGTTGTAGGAGCTGCTGTACCAGGATGTAAGGTATTGCAGTGTCAAAACTAAGGATTCTGGGACAAACCAGCCAGGTCTGACTCCTCTGCCATTTGTAAGCTTGTGACTTGCTCCAACTACTCTTGTCTGCAAAATACAAAGTGCCAGGACTCTCCCCATGGGGTTGCTATCAGGACTAAAGTAGTTAGTGTAGGACACTCTTAGAACACATACTGGGTGCTCAAAGAATTATGAAATTCTAATAATTGTCATTACACCTAAGATTCACATAATACATGGGATAAATTCCTGGAAGTGGAATTGTAGCAGCAAATGGAATGTTCACTGATGATTTGGAATAAATATTTCTAAAGTGCCCTCCTTAAAGGTTTAAATTACAAGGTATGTATGAGAGTGCCTATTTCCCCACACAGGCACTTGGTAACACTTTTATCAAATTTCTTGAAAAATGGTATCTTACTTTAACTTTGATATGAGTGATGTTGACATTTTTTCAGATAGAAATACTTGATTTCCAGCTGGGCGCAGGGCCTGTAATCCTACCACTCTGGGAAGCTGAGGCAGGTGAATCGCTTGAGGACAGCAGTTCGAGACCAGCCTGGCCAACATGGTGAAACCCCATCTCCACTAAAAATATAAAAATTATCCGGGCATGGTGGTGGGTGCCTGTAATCCCAGCTACTCAGGAGGCTAAAGCAGGAGAATCTCATGAACCTGGGAGGCGGAGGTTGCAGTGAGCCAAGATCACGCTTAATTAAAAAAAAAAAAAAAAAAAAAATATATATATATATATATATATATATATATATATATTTGATTTCCTTTTTTTGGTGTGTGAACTGCTTGTTCATAAATATTTTCCCTGGGATGTTGTGTTTCAACTCTTTATGGCCTTTTATTTTTTTGTTGTTGTTGAGATAGAGTCTCATTCTGTCACCAAGCTGGAGTGCAGCGGCGGCAATCTTGGCTCACTACAACCTCCACTCCCAGGTTCAAGCATGAACCACCATGCCCGGCCAGCCCATCTTTTAAATCCACTAAAATTTTTATATTTTTGTGTAGTCTAAATTGTCATTTACAGAAAATACTTTTTTGATCTGAGATTATAAAAATATTCTTCCAGGGAATCTTCTAAAGTTTTAAATAAAAATATTTTAAACAACAAAAAAGTCAAATATTAAAAAAAAAAACAAAACAACTAACTCTGGGCTGTTTAGAATGTACGTAGTAGTAAATTGTGAGGTTGGGACCCAATATTGTTTCTAGAGGGTACCAGGTAGTAATGACTTTCATTTACTGAATTAGCTAAAGTTTTATCACTGGCGTGAAATGCTACCTTTAAAATTCCCATAACTATTTGGGCCTATTTCCTGATAGTCTATCATATTCCACTGCATTATCTACTCATGTGTCAGTATCTCACTGTTTTGAGAATGATAGCCTTTAAGTTCTGGTAGGGCTATTTGTTTTTCCACACAACTTTATTTTATTGATTGACTGATATGAAGTCTCACTCTGTCACCCAGGCTGGAGTGCAGTGGCATGATCTCGGCTCACTGCAGCCTCCCAGGTTCAAGCAATTTTCCTGCCTCAGCCCGCAAGTAGCTGAGACTACAGGCACACATCACCATTCCCAGCTACTTTTTATATTTTTAGTAGAGATGGGGTTTCACCATGTTGGCTGGACTGGTCTCAAACTCCTGATCTCAGGTGATCTGCCCACCTCGGCCTCCCTAAGTGCTGGGAATACAGGCATGAGCCACAGTGCCCAGTGGATTTTTCGACATAACTTCATAGAGTTACCTTGTCTGATTCCAAAAATTCCTGGTTAAATCTATCATCTACAGGACAGCTCACATCTTTATGATGCCATCCTAGCTAATCAGTGGCATGAATTTCTAGTTATTTGAGTTTTCATTGAGGCCTCTCGGTAGGGTTTTTAATTTTTTCTTCATTAAGATCTGCAACTCTGGTTGCATCCTAAGACTTTTATTTGTGAATATGACATTTCTTTATGGGCTCTGAGGGTAATTTGTGCTACCTGACTTCATGCTGATTGTATCCAGCCACCTGACTGTCTTCTTTCATTACCTATGGCAGTTTTTCTAGTTAATTCTCTTACAAATTATATCATCTTTAAATAATTACCCTTTCCAATTTGCTCTTTCCCTTGACTGACTACACGGGCTAGCACCTACAGAACAATGTTAAGTTATAATTCCAAGAGTAGGCATTTATTTAGTTTTTGAACTTAATTTGAAATAATTTATCAAGTTAAGGAAGCATCCACCTACTCCCATTTAACTCAGTTTTAAAACAAAATGGCGTTGAATTTTACCAAAATGCCTCTTGAGCATCGATGAGAGATCATATAATTTTTTTCTTGTGATCTACTGATAAGTAGAATTAAATAGTTACCTAAAATTTGAACCTCCTTCCTTTCCAAAAACAAACCTCACTTGGTCATGGTATATTAGCCTTTTAACATGCAGTAAGGTTCTGTTTGTTACTATTTTACTTAGGTTTTGCATTGACATTCAGAAATGAGACTGATCTGGGATTTATGATGTTTTATCCTTGTTAGATTTTGATGTAAATATTATGTTCATTTCAAAATAAAATCTGCACATTTCTTCTCCATGAACTAGAATATTTAAAGTGGTATTAACAGTTACCTGTTCCTTAAAAGTTCCTGAGGTTTCCCCATGAAGCAGTCTAACTGGTGACTTTGGTGAGGTTAACTCTGTGACACTGTCCTCTATCACTTCTACAATAATTTTTTACTTTAATTAATTTTATTTTCTTTAAAAACCATCCACTTTATGTGCAAATTTATTTGCACAGAGTTCAGCAAAGAAGTTTCTCAACTTTTTTGTCTGCTATTCTTTCTCGCTTACACCTGCTTTGCATATTTATGCTTTTTCTTTTCTTTCTTGATTAGCTCACCTAATAAGGACCTATTCTGTTGCTATTTGTTAGAACATGGGAATCAGGAGGCCAAAAAGCTTTTAACACAAAAGGGATCTGGTCCTGATGCCGGAAGTATGCATCCTATGTAAGAAAGTTGGCCCCAGACTAGCTACAAAGCCACCTATACCTTCTCACCAGGTAAGGCCTGGAAGGATCCATAGTACAAAGTGTCACCATTACCACCTCCCTGTTTCTCAGACCCAGTGTGTTCAGAGTTCAGTCCCACACTGGGTCTCATTCCGTCCTAGTAAAAGGTAGGCAGGGGCATTACCTCCTATAGGGTTACAATAGGAAAAAGACTTAGTCAAAAGAAAGTAACTGGTCTGGGGGAATCAGTAGACCTGATTCTGGCCCTACTTGCAGGGAACTCATAGCCTACACACCTAAGATCAGGAGATGGATCTGTACACTGTCCAAGTGAAGGTTTCTTCAGGAAGATTTGGAATAGCTTGTGGATAGACAACTGCTAAAAGCAGAGGCCTGATGTGTGTGGTTTCCATGAAGGGCTTTCTGATGCTCTGAGCAGATCAGTGGCATGAAAATAAAACCCAGAGTGAACTGCCTTGACAGTGGGGGTCTTTTTTTTTCACCCAGGGCCTTAACATTTTTTTTTTTTAAATCACACACATCATTTTGGGGAGAATAACCAATTCAAAAACAACCTGTACTGATATACTCAGACAACAGCAAGTGGTAAATGAGTTTCATCCCCCAAAGGGAAATGTGTTTCAGAGCCCTACCCTCTGCCCAATAATTCCACTTCTACAAGTTATCCTGAGAGAACAACCACAGGTGAGCTCAAAGACTCATTTACAATCACAAGAAACTGGACACAAATACAAGTCCACAATGAGCTGGCTAAGCAAATCCTAGGACGGGAACCTGGATAATCAGACAGCAAATGCTTCAGAGGACTAGTTATTAAAATGGACGAATGGGCAAGAAACAGTAACAAGTGAGGAAAAAAAGACTGGAAATAGAGATATCAAATACAGTGACAATACTGGAGAGACTGGATTATGGATTTTTTTTTTCCTTTGGGCTTTTACTATTTTCTAAAATTAATATGTGTAAACTTACCTTTCATAATAAAAAAAAATAACATTATGAAAGACAAAAAAAATCAGCCTGATTGCTTTCCCTGTGTGTCCTCTGGTGCCCTGGCAACAGTGAAGTGCAGCAGACGTGCCTAGCACTCCCACCCACCACACGATTCAGGTGTGCACAAGGGCTCCAGGAGGAGTGTGGGTTTTGACACTGTGGGAAGCTGGGCTCAACTTCCTTGCTTCCACATTCTACCAGTCAGGTCGTGAAGGGCCTGTGAAGATCCTCACTGCGAAAGCATTAACCGCTAAAAGAAGACAGGAAGATTTTGCTAGATAAAATCATAAAAGGGGAATCAACCAGTACCCAGTGTCCAGCTGTGCTATGCAGAGAGGTGTGATTCTTCTTCGACCATCTGCCGTCCGAGTCTCAACTTGCTTCTTCAAAAGATTCTGGCAAAGCAGAGTCACATAAATGCAAAGTTTCTGCCGACTATTTCCAAATATTAAAAAATAAAGTCTCTTTTTTTCCTGGTGACAACAACACTTAGCATAAGATCTATCCCATTAGCGAGGTTTTAAGTGTGCAGTATTGTATTGTGAACTATAGGCACTATGCTGTAGGGGAGATCTCTAGGACTTATTCATCTTCTATACCTTAAACGTTACACTCTTTGACTAATAACTCCCATTTTCCTCTCACCCCAGTATTCACCATTCTATTATCTGCCTCTGTGAGTTTGACTATTTTAGATTCCTCATATAAGATGACTACCATGCAATACTTATCTTTCTGTAACTGGGTTATCATTACTTTGTACACATTAAGTATGTATAACTTTTTATATGTCAATTATACCACAACACAGTAGGTTTAAAAATAATAAGGCTTCTAAGGAAATATATTCTAAATTCCCCTTCTAAGCCCTTTTGGTATAACTAAACTAGCCACTTAAGCAAAGCACGAGCCGTGGGCACATGCTGCACTGGCCGCCCCACACAACAGCCATGGGGCCAATGAAGGGGCTAAAGGACTGAGCCCTGCGCCTGTAAGCGACATGTCTGTCACTGAGCTAAGGATTTTCTTTACCTTTCTTCATTTTTTTGAGATGGAATCTCATTCTGTCGCCCACGCTGAGTGCAGTGGCGTAATCTCAGCTCACTGCAACCTCCGCCTCCCAGGTTTAAGCAATTCTCCTGCTCAGCCCCCCATATAGCTGGGATTACAGGCATGCGCCACCATGCTCAGCTAATTTTCTTTTTTTTTTTAAGTAGAGACAGGGTTTCACCATGTTGGTTGGGCTGGTTTGGAACTCCTGACATCAAGTGATCCATCTGTCTCGGCCTCCTAAAATGCTGGGATTACAGTGTAAGTCACTGCACCTGGCCTGAGATAGCGATTTTCAAACTGACTTTCAAAATAGAATCCTTTCTTCCACAGAAAGCTCATAACTAGGGGTTTTCTCTCATACTTTATATCTGAATTGCCTGGAGGAGTTTTGTCAGCCTACATATGGTCCTGGAGATGGTTTATACACGCCAGGCAATAATGTTCCTTACCCTTTTCCAATCCCTTTTCATGAAACATGGCTTCCAGATGAAGAAGGGGAGCCCACAGAAGTCTCTTAAGGTCAGAGCCTGAAATCCACTATTCTTAGCATCTAGGATTTCCTAGAAAGGCAGGCAGGCTAAAGTTTGTAAGTTCTTACAAGAGATGACCTCCTCTGGGCTCCTGGATATATAGTGGCCTTTGATAAAGGGGATCCAGGCCCCATTACTATCTCATGCAGTGGTGGGCAAGGAGCCAACAAGCCTGAGGCTGGCTGACCCACAAATCCCATGCCACACTAAGCAGACACCCTCTTTACCACCACTGGTATCTGCCCCTCACCCTGTCCCCTGGTCATGTGTCTATGTCTTTCGTACCACCAGGCAGGGCTCTCACCTTCCTAATATCTTCAAGACTCTCCCCATTGACGACACCTGCAACTGAGGTGGCTGAGCCTGTCTCCCTGGTCGAGGCACTTTTCTGCTCCAGCTGCTGCTGCTGCTGTCTCCGCTGGTACTTGAGCATCTCAGGGTTCTCAATGACGGCTGTGGAGAGCTGGGCCTCAGTCATGATGGCCAGGCTCTTGCCATAGGTGGACTGGTGAATGCGGCTCTGGGGAAGCAAGGAGAGGCACAACACGCCAGTGTAAGCACCAGTATGGCCAATGCTGCCCACAAGTGGGCAAACTAGAGCAGAGTTCTCTTGGCTCTGAGTGGAGAAGGGACCCAAGGCCAGCTTCCCATCGCCTCCCACCCTATTCTCCTTGTCCCTCATTTGACAGCTCTGTTGATGTCTCATGCTCTCCCTTGATGTTTATGGCTTCCCTTGTATCTGTAGCTGGGATGACAGTACATGAGACAGCCAAGAAGACAACTCCTGCCCCACAGTCTAGTGCAGAACAAATGACAATCCACAGTGTCCACAGTGCTTCACTGGAAAGGAAGATACTCAGGTTGCTAAGTTAAGGCTCTTAAATCACTCCGAGGACCCAAATGCATTTGGGAATCAGATCCTAGAACAAGAGTCTACTTTCACAGCTCATCCGCAGCCATCACCTGTGGATGGAGGTCTCCAGAGGCCTGCTTACAGTGTCTCTAAGAGTATGGGAAGGCCTGGAATAGCAGAGCTGGGGAGCCTCCTTTACCCCCACCTCTCCTAGTATGTCATCATCCTCCCCTCCTCCTAGGCCCTTGTAGTTTTGGGCCCTAACAAGCTAGGCAGGAGCCCCATGAGAATAGAGATGGTGTCCCCAGCACACTGTAGTGACTGCTGTGCATGAGGAACTGACTTCCATGGGATGTGCTAATGTCCAACGTGGGATTCTGCCCAAGATCAGGGACTGTTCTTGGTTAACAGGGTATCTGCTTTACACCAGAGCATGGGTGGAAAGGCAGCGTTCCAAGAGAGGTGCCTCGGGACTCACTCCTGCAGGACTTGATGTGTCTGGGAATCTCCTTTCCTTGCCATCTTGGCTCCTGCCCTTCTCTCCTGAGTCTATCCCCTGCAATCTTGAGGTAGAATTCAATGTTTGCCAGGGCTTCCCTAGTGGTCTTGAAACATTGGGTCCCAGTCTGTGACTTGGGAAATGTAAATGCAGTCAGCAAGGCAGACCTCTGCCCCAAGTGGAGAGGTCACACTGTAGGTTAAGAGGAAGCTTCCACCAGCAAAGAAGGTCATACGGGAGAGCTGCCAGCCTGCTCTAGGCTTTCACAGAACTCCCTTCAGACACATACATACATCCAACCAAGTGGCAGCAGGTTTCTAAGCCTATGGTAGGTGAAGCAGGGCTTTTTGCAAAGCTTGGCAGAAGGGCACAGAGACCCCAACACCCCCGCAGAGCACAGAGGGTAGGTAGCCTGGCCCAGAGGCAGTAGGCCTGGTTCACCCTTCTAACCTAAGGCTCACGTACAGACTGGGCAAAGGGCCGTGCTATTTTCTGAGGCTTAGTTTCCATATCCACAAAACGGATGAGCTCTGTCTTGAAGGGTTTTGGGCAATTTAAATGAAATTGTATGTGCAAAACACATTCCCAGAGCCTGGCATACAATACGTGCTAAGAAATGACCAATATGACTACCATGAAGGGGAAAGTGATGTCGGCAGAGACCTTTGAGGAGTCACTTCAGCTCTTTCTCAGGGCAAAAACTTCCCCGTAGATGGCCTATTATCAGTTCAAGAAGAGATGTCCAAAATAGTTCTACTCTTAACTCCAGGACTTATTTCTAAAATGAACAGAGACTCGTTCTTAATCTATGCTGTAAAGAAGGATTACAACCTATAAAAGATGAACATCTCATTACATGTTAAGAAATGATGCTTTTGTGTATCCCGCAAGAAGAGGGTATAGTACGGGTTTCTCAGAGCTACTGTAGCTATGGCCCCAAAGCACCCAGTAGCACAAGGGCTATCAGCCTACCTTCTCCTCCTCGCTTAAGGGATCTCCAAGCTCATCCTGGGAGAAGTCAAGGAATGCCACAGAGCCATCCATGGAGCACACCAAGATGCCAAGCCCATTCAGAGTCCTGAAAGACACGGTCATCAGCAGCCTGGTAGCAAGAGCCCCAGGCAGACACGCATCATAAGAGCTGGCATGTGAGGATGGTGGACCATGTTTCTAGGGAGATGCTGGCAACTCCTGGTTCCCTTCTGTGGCCTGAGGGTGGTGGGGGGGAGGGTGACAAATGTGTCCCATAGGGCCCTTGTGTTCTTTAGTTCTAAGCAGGTATACAAAGTATCCCTTACCATATGTTCTGTAAGAATTTTCAATTTTATTTGTCTTACTTTTGAAACCATTAAGAAAAAAAACAAACATGACAAAATATCCATACAAATCAGGTCACTGAGAAGCAGAAGGTGTGCTTCCCACTTTGTTTCATGCAATGATGGAGTAAAGTGGAGCCTACTAGGATCATATCATTCTCTTTGTCTTATACAAATCCTGAGAAGGCATTTTTCCGTAGCAAACCCTACACAAGAAGGACATTCTCACAGCAGCAGGCACACCATTGCCAGTTCCCAAATCACAGGCAAACAGCACTCTTAGTCTGTGCCACTGTGACACCTGAGGATGGGTCACTGGCCAGCCACCTGACCCTAGTCACATCCAGGAGGCCTCATGTTCCAATGTGTGAATTCTCCTTTCTTTCTAACTTATTCCCATAAGTAGAATCCACCTTACCAGGAAATGTCCATGATGGATTTGTCAAACAGTTCATGGATGACTACCAGTGGCCGTTTCAGACATGTGAGCTGGAAAGAAAGACACAGCCAAGGTTAATAAAATTACTCAAATCCGCTTTTGCATTCAGCTCAGTTAACATAACCAGCCTAGAAGCCTTGGTCAGAGTAGATGCTGATATTTAAGGCATCTTCAGCTCTACTCAAACTGTAGCTGTGGAGATCCCAAACTATGGGAACCAAAGCCTGCCAAAAACATATATCCTACCTAGAGTGGACCCTGCCTCCAGGGCTTTCTGTGGTCTGACGGGGAGACAGCTTTAGACACACACAAGCAGCAATGGAGAAGGCAGAGTGGGAGTGGGTTGTTGAAGGGCTATGGTCTGAGCAGAGGGACAGTTTCAGTGTGGCCCTCTGAGAGGGTCTATGGAACAGGAAACAGGATGCCAAAGCCTAGCTAGGGGGTGAGGCACCCTGAGAGATAACAGAACACATCTTCCCTGGGCCCAAGGGACTCTGGTACACATTTAGCCAAGGCTCATTCTACACTATGTGCAGGTAATACAGAAATACACACTTGGGCCCTTAATCTAGGCACAGTTACCTACTATTAACACTTTGACGAATTATTTCCTTCTATTTTGTGCAAATATTTATTTTATTTTTCAAAGTAAGGCATGTGGTTGTGGCTTTTTCATTTAACACACAGTAAGCCTGTCATTAAATAGCCTATAAAAGTCTCTTTTGGATGACTGTGTAACATGCACCGTGTGCATATTCTCTATCGAGTCACCCAATGCTGGCATGCAAGCTGACTCCATGTTCCCACAACTATGGTAGGCTCTTCCTCTCGTGCACAAGTGCCTGGCTACCCTGCTGGCTGGCCCTGAGCTGCAGGATGGCGGGCAGGGAAGAAACACACTTCTTCACAGGATGATGGGCTCCCTTAGGTGCTGCTGAGTGTTCCAATGCAGCCTGAGAGTGCCATGTGGGGAAGGAGAAGCTGCGTCCACTCTAGTGCTGGAGAGGGGTCTAGAGTCTGAGCTATCTGGAACCCACATTAAGAATCTTGCTTCCACCCTAATTCCACTTCTAGAAAAAGCTGCCTTGTGCCTCCTCCCATAAACGTGCCTACAGACCCTCAGAAATCTGCAGGCTGTGTGACTGCCTGACCTGAGCATTCTAAGGAATATGGGTACCACAGTCAGTGCAGCACCACAAACAGGGCCTCAGGCTGGGAGGAGACAGGGAAGGCGCCCTGAACGGCTCTCTGTGGTACTGTGGTTCAGGTTCCAGAATGGGTGTTAAGAGAATACTGGGCCTAAAAAAAAAAAAAAAAATCACAACACACACAGTAATAGATTTCTGTACAACAAACTGTAATAAACACAGCCAGAGGATAACCTTCAAAACCAGAACTTCAAACTTGCTCAGCTTATAGGGACACTTTTTCACAAAGTGAAAAAAAAAAAAATTAATGTGTGTGCACTTTGCTTTATCGAACTTGGCGGAGGTGTCTCTCACCGCACAGTCAGGTCACAGCACACCAGCTCCTGGCAGTGAGAAACTTAACCCATCAGGAGCCCTTACATAGAAACCGCCACAACACTTACCCTTGGGTTCTCACTCACCAACTACCCTTGAATAACTCTGCTGAGAACCTGTTCTGTGGAGGGCACTGAGTTAGGAAGGTGAGGGGAACAATGAAGCTGAAGAAACATCGGGCTGGGTGCGGGGGCTCATACCTGTAATCCCAGCGCTTTGATAGGCTAAGGTGGTGGATCACCTAAGGTCAGGAGTTTTGTGACCAGCCTGGCCAACAGAGTGAAACCCCATCTCTACTAAACTTACAAAAAAATTAGCCGGGTGTAGTGGTCTGTAATCCCAGCGCCACTGCACTCCATCCAGCCTGCTGGGTGATAGAGGGAGACTCCATCTCAAAAGAAAAAAAACAAAGAAGGTGAAGACACACTTTGCATCATCTCAGGGGCTCCTGCAAGTGAGGACTACCAGGCTCACAACCTGACCCGTCACTGCATCGCCCAGGGGCGAAATGGACTAATAAATGGAGGTATCAGCTTTCTGTGTGTCTTTTTTTTGTGTGGACATAAGCACTCATCTGTCTTGGTTATATGCCTAGGAGTGGAAGTACTTTAGGTCATGCTTAGCTGTGGTAGAAACTGCCAAACACTCTTCCCAAGTGCTCACGCCAGCATAAACACCTGTCAGCAATATATCACTTCCAGCTTATCGTGTCCTTGCCAACACTTGGTTCTATCTTTTTTTTTTTAACTTTAGCATACTACTCCTAGGTATGTACTCACAAATAAATGAAAACATATGTCCAAATAAAGACTTATACAAGAATATTCATATCAGCTTTAGTCATAATATCTCAAAACTGGAACAGTATTAATGTCCATCAATAGGAGACTGTATAAACAAACTGTGGTGCATTCGTACAGTGGAATGCTACACAGAAATTATAAGGAATAAAATACTGTTAAGTGTAGCAACATACAGGAATCTCAAAAACACTATGTCAAGCAAAAGAAATGAAGACAAAGAAGCAAGCACACACAACTGCATTTACATGAAGTTCAAGAGCAGGCAAAACTCATTAGTATCTGTTATACTGTCAGTATACTGTTATACTATCAGTATCAGCCATTAGAGTGGTTGCTTTGGTGGTGAGGGAGGTCTTGACTCGGGAGGGACAAAGGGACAAAAAGGAGTGCTCTAGGCAGTAATGACGCATGTAAACATGTATGACAACTCACCAAGCTGTACCTTTCAGGCAAATATACTTTATATAAAGATTTTTCTAATAGGAAGCAAGCCCAACATGATGCCCATGGCATTGACCACTGAGGGTGCTGCCTGAGTCTGGATACAAGAGCTGGTCTAGCTGGGAGTCAAGGTGCCCTCTCCTGGCTGAGCACAGATCCAGTCTTCAGCACTTCCTTCTGGGAGAGCAGGAGAGCCTGTGAGCTTCCAAGGAGGGGCTGACCCCAGGTGCAGAGTAGAAGGTACACTCTGAGCATTACCCAAAGCAGGTCTCTCTTTCCACCACTCACTACTTCCCCAACCTATACCTTGCATCCTGCAACAAATGCTTAGGGTGGCAAGCTCACCCAGACAGAAAGCGAGCGGTCCTTGCTGCCAACAGCACAGCAGCAGTATGGGCAGCTGGGCTTCGTAGAACTCCCATTCTTCTGCTTCTTTTTGAAGATTTTTGGGTTGAATTTCTAAAGCCAAATAACAAATGTTAAAAATAATTGATCAAGCATCAGGCATGTCCCCTGTGCCCAAGTCCCCAGCCTGCTCAAGGGAGTCTCCAACAGACATTCTCTGAGCCCAGGCACTGAGCATGCATTATTTCTCATCTTCCTGACCAACAATGAGGCACCTGGCTGATGATGGAAAGGAGGCTTAGGGAGGTCAGAAAGTATGTGCAGAGGCATCAAATGAGTAAGCTGGGAAATGCAGATATAAAACCAGCACTACCAAACTCTCCCCATTTCTGCAGCCTTCTAAGTAAAGGGGATGGATAACTATTGAAACTAGCCTTCTCAATTCCCTCTGGCCTGGCAGGGCCATCCCTAGGACCTGTGGAAAAGGTGAGCCTCCAAGGGGGCTTCAGAAACAAAGACCTGCTCATTCCCTATCTCGTAAGAAAGGCCAAGGGAATGTGCAGGAAGGGTGTGAACCTATGAATTCCTTATTGACTCACTGCATTTGTTGTTTGGTCCTCACTGTCTAGCAGAGATCCACTCAGTCAGAGTCATTTGTGATCTCCCTGGGCCAGAGACCAAGGCTACATGACACAAAGGTGCTTCATTGTCTGCTTAGACCAGGGAGCTACCTCCAGAGTAACTTCTCTTTGTTTTTGGAAAGGATGGAAGCATACACTGAGCTCCCGGGCGCCTTCCTGGATTTAAAGGGGATGGGTGCTCTGGGAATCCCCAACCTAGAGGGCAGAGGAAAGAGGGTTCCGGAAACCGAGGGCAGAGGAAAGAGGGTTCTGGAAAGCCTGGTGTCAGGTAGTCTAGAGAGATTTTAATTCCAGAGGGCAGGCAAGAATGACCAGGTGCACAGAGACTGGAGAAGATGGAACCCAGAGGCATCTCCCCAGGATTAGTCTCTAGCACCAGGAGGCTGCAGGGTCTTTCAAGCTCTGTGTGCCAAAGGTAGGCGTCATGATCTCCCAGAACAGCTCTAAAGTGGTTGTAAGGACTGCACAGGAGAATCATGTAGAGCACTAACCATGAAGCAGTGATTTCCAAAGACTTTAGCAACTAAATTGTGGCTCAAACAAAACCCTACATGAACTCCAAAACAAAAAAATTAAGTAAGGAATACTTTATTTTATAGTATAAAATATTATTTTATAATAATTTATGTTTTAAGGTACACTATATGATGTTTATTATCTATTTAGACACAGGCAAAAATAAGCCCGTTTTCATCAGGGTCTTGGATGATCCTTCACTTTTATCAACGTTAACCCACCAATCTGTTTATTTTATTTGGCTACCCAGTGTTGAGAAAATCCTGGTTCTCATAGATAATTTGCAACTACTTAACAGCTTGCCTGGGGCTCTATCAGAACGCTCTTTAATTAAATTAATGGAGAAGCATAATAGGAGTGACCAGACACCTCTCCTGCCTAAGGACCCACAGCAGTTCACGCCTCTGAGCTCCTTACCTGCCACCGCAAGATCTGGCAGCAGCTCCTAACTCAGTGATCCACGGCATGGCCTTGCACCTGTGGCTGATGGTGCCAGGTGTAGGGACAAGCACAGTGCTTGGTGGGTGCACCAGAATCACACCTGTATTCACTGGAGCCAGGTGAGGGGGGCACTGTGCTTGGGCACCCATGAACATACCTGAGTATATAAAAGGCTGATGAGGAGCTACAATGTTCCTAACCCAAGACTGATTTTGTTGATGTTCACTACGTTAAAGTTTGCCAATAAATCAACCAAGTACATACTCTATTATCTGAAATTACTTTTAAAATATTTAAGCATAACTTCATAAAATAAATCAAGAATTAATATGTGCTGAATCTTGGAGCCCATCCCCCTCAGTTCCCTGGGCACTCACCACGACAGTCACAGCTTTCCGGTGCCCTACAAAGTCCATGTTGGTCTTCCATCCCTCCCGTTCAATGATCTGGGCAGTGGGGCCTGAATTGTTCATGGCATGGGCAGATACCAGGTAATGCCCATCAGGTGACCAGCTGAGCCGCAACACATGTGTCGTTCCTCCACACTGAAAAAAGCATCTGCACTTGAAAGGAGCTCAAGGCCACCTTTGTGACCAAAACTCTAGCCTCAAGGATGAAGTCAAACTTCAATTTATAAACGTGTGATGGTGGAGCATCCACCCCAAGCTTCTGGCTACACTGACAGCTTCCATCTCTCCAGATGGCCCAACCAAAAAGGGCTCTGTGAAATGAATTTGGAAACTGCAGCATCCTACTCTCCCCCAGAGCAGCTGAACAAAGAAATATAGTTTAGAAGTGTAGGCCCTGAGGAGCTCTGCAAGAAGGCTACCTGTTTGAACCACAGCCTCTGTGTGGGCCAAATCTCTGGTCAATAACCCAATTCTTCTGTACAGCACCTGTTAACCTAACATATGGCATCTGCACAGCATCCTCAAGGTATACTGTGGTGGAGAAAAAGCCCTTTTAACTCAGGAGCCTGGCAGAAGCCTGTGACTGTAATGTAGCTGATGACCGAGGCACCACCTATTATCTTGAGCCTGCTGCTTCACCCAAAGGGTAGTGAGGACACCCACAAGGGAGAAGAGGTTTGTAATGTCCTTATAAACTGTAAAAGGAACAGTAGAAAGGCACTGTTCCTCCGACCTGGACTGGCGGCTGAGGCAGGGCAGGCTTTTACATTATTCCTCCTGCAAAATGAGATGACATGGGTCTAGAGCCAACTTCCTGAAGCTCAAGGTGGGCCCAGGGCAGCTCTAAAGACTTAAGGGTTAAGATCATGACCTCACAGCTCTACAGCAGGACAGGACAAAGAAGGGCCTGAGTGTAGTGAAATCACCCACCTCAGCTCTGAGCCTTAGGCCACAGATCCACCCCCTACCTTGAAGGATGGGACCACCCAGCAGAGGCTGAAGATTACTGTCAGCTCCTGCTGGTACTCAAGACACTCTTAAAGCCATCCCTAGGAGTCCAGCTCATGGGACCCCACTGCCTGGCAGTCAGCCCTGAGGAACTCCAGAAGGAGCAAAAGTTCCTTAGGGCAAGACTAAGTAAGGTAAAAACCAGTACTCACATAACTAGCCCAGGAGCTGGTGTCATGCGGGGAGAACTGAACAAATGACTATCACTTTACTTTTGCAGCCATCCTGACCAGTGGACAAATGCCTGCTCTTGCTGCGAACTTTCACTTATGTGTCCCTTGTTCTGTGAAGTCTTCCTTGATGCACTCACCCCTCCTGGGCTGTTTCTGCACTCTGGACAACTCCATCATCATACAACTGATGGGAATGCCTGTCTTTCCTTGGGGCTTAAGCCTCAAGAGGAGAGATTCCATCTCAATCTACTTTTATTTCCCTGTGTCCAGTATTGCCTTCTATACAGTAGACCCTTAATAAATGTCTAATGAGCAATAATGATCTTGAACTCTCATTCCATTTGAAATCAGAACTCAAAGGAAGAGAGAGTAAAATACTATAGATGCTACTGCAGTCTGATCTCCAAACATGTGCAAACTGTACTGCTAACTCCAGCCAGGAAAGAAGGCCCCTGAACTGCAGGGTGCATATCAACAACAGCACAGTCAGGGATGGCCCGAGAGACTCTTCCATCCTGCCCCAGCCTCCAACAAGCTGCTCTGCAGGAGGCTCAGTGTAAACTCCACAGTCTAAGAAGCAGTTTTATCCAGGTCTGTGGCAGTGAGCTGGGTGACAGAATGATGTGGAGACATCTCTATGGTTCACTTCAATTTTAAAACTATGAATCCAAGCCAGGCACAGTGGCTGATGGCTGTAATTCCAGCACTTTGGGAGGCTGAGGCGGGCAGATCACCTGAGGTCAAAAGTTCGAGACCAGCCTGGCCAATTTGGTGAAACCCCATCTCTACTAAAAATACAAAAATTAGCTGGGTGTGGTGGCAGGCGCCTGTAGTCCCAGCTACTCAGGAGGTTGAGACAGGAGAATCACTTGAACCTGGGAGGTGGAGGTTGCAGTGAGCTGAGATTGTGCCATTGCACTCCAGCCTGGGTAACAAGAGAGAAACTCCATCTAAAAAAAAAAAAAACCAAAAACTATAAATCCTTTCATTTCAAAGTTGGAAATTAAATGGCATCTCAGAAATGAAGGATTTTGTATTATCTGACTCTTAGGGCCAGAGTCCCACCCAAGAGATCCTCAGTGAATCTGCTCAAACCCCTAGACTCTGTGCATTCCTCATGTGGCCTGGCCCATGGCCAGCTCCCTCTCTGCACAAAGAAGTCAGGAAGGGGCTGGGGCAGCTGCTGGGGCTCAGCTCCCTGAGCTGTTCCCACTTACCTCATCAAAAGGCTTGGTGATGCTGGTCTCCAGCTGCCAATCTAGTGTCCTCCACACCTTTAGGCTGCGGTCATCAGCTTGAGAGGCTATGTATTTACCAACAGGGTCCCACGTCAACCCTTTGACCAAGCCAGAATGACCTCTCAGAGTAGCTAGAATTTCTGTGAAGAAAAAAGGAATGTGGAGAGGCGTCATTTGGGGAAAACATAACCTGCAATCCACGAGCCATGGGATAGATATCCAAGAGAGCGGGCCCAGCAGTCTGCCCTGACCAGCCCCATGCATGCCAGGTAGAAGCAGAAGTGCCTCCTTATTTGATCTCCACCAAGGCAAAAGCCAACTGAAGAAATGACTGCATTAAGAAGGCAGGCACCAAAAGGCCAGTTCTAATCCAGGTCTTGTCTGTAGCTAGCAGCCCTGCCTGTGGCTGCCCTTCCTGAGCTGTGACACCAGCACTTCTGACGTTAGCCTCCTTGGCAGCTCCCTGATAAGGAAGAGGCCTGCTATCAAAGGGAGACATAGTGACTGAGTCTTTTGCAAATTATGGCTGAAGACAAAGGTGTGTACAATGGTATCCCATACAGATCTGTAATCCAAATGCTACTCCAGTCTCTAAAGTTGCCCTCTCCATGGCCAGACTGAGTATCTCCACACATGCTGGTGGTTTTCAAAGAGTTAAAATGACCTGAATCAATGAGAAAAGCATTCTTCAAATACAGATCAGAAATAGGAGAAGAATTTACTAGTTATAAACTGCAGCACTATGCTAGGTTATGCCATCTGTTGTGATTTTAAACACAATAAATAAGAAAAATCAGTCTTTTGCAAAACTGGGTTTTTGTTAGCCCACATCTGCTCAAGGGTTTCATAGAGGAGATGGTGACTGAGGTGAGCCCAGAGCCCAGTGGTGGGGGTGCACACAGCATATGTAGGAGCACCAGAGACCCCAACAACAGCTGCCTACTCACTATCCTCATGATCTGTAGCATGCCACGCCAGCACTCAGTTACTATTTTTCTTCAGGACTAATCTCTTTTTAAAGCTTAAACAAACGTAACTGATAAAGAAAAACTGACAAGACACTAAATCCTAGGCCACTGTGATACATCCACTGCCACCAAGACTAAGGAGACAGCCCAACCCCTGCTCCAGACACCAAGAGGCAGTACTGCTCACTATTAACCAGTCAGAGGAGGTCCCAGACCTGGGAACTTGACAGCATTCCAGATGACGACGGTGTTATCCACACTGCACGAGGCTAGCCAGGCGTCATGGGGAGACCATGCTACATCCATCACATCTGAAAGAAGACAGAGGGTTCTGGTGAGACCTCTTACCTGGAAATGCTCTGGTCTGGGACAGTGCCCCTGGGACCTGGGACCATCATAACCAGTCTGGTATTTTTTAACCAACCTGAAAAAACTCTCCCCAAAATTTTTCAATTGGGCATAAATTTAAAGCATCTAACTGACCCCAGTGCCCCACTCCTTTTATAGATGAAGCAACTGAGGGCACGGTTCAGAGCTTGGGTACCATATGGCACCTCATCCATGCATGAGAGCCTGCTACTTCGTGGGTCTGTGGCTTGGAGCATGCGACACATGGGTATGTGACACAGTGGGTAAAGCACCTGGCAGAATGCTTGAAACAGTCAGAGCTCCAGGGCTGCTGACACCTAATGCAGGTCATCTTGAGGCCCTTGTCTGGTTCATGGACAGGGTCTCATCTCCCAGACCCTGACAGGAGCACCCCTTCGCTATGGAGCCTCCAAACAGAATTAATCACATTCACTTCTTTGTGACTCTGTTTTATCGTTTGTCAAATGCAGATTAAAAAACAAAATCGGCCAGGCGCAGTGGCTCACGCCTGTAATCCCAGCACTTTGGGAGGCCGAGGCGGGTGGATCACGAGGTTAAGAGATTGAGACCATCCTAGCCAACATGGTGAAACCCCATCTCTACTAAGAATACAAAAAAATTAGCTGGGCGTGGTGACACGCACCTGTAGTCCCAGCTACTGGGGAGGCTGAGGCAGGAGAATTGCTCGAAACTGGGAGGTGGAGGTTGCAGTGAGCCAAGGTTACGCCACTGCACTCCAGCCTGGTGCCTGATGACGTAGTGAGACTCTGTCTCAAAAAAAAAAAAAAAAAAAAAAATCTAGGTCAGGTGCAGTGGCTCACACATGTAATCCCAGCATTTCAGGAGGCTGAAGTGGGCAGATCACTTGAGCCCAGAAGTACAATACCAGCCTAAGCAACATGGCAAAACCCCATCTCTACAAAAAATACAAAAAAGTTGTCTGGGCATGGTAGCACATGCGTGTATCCCCAGCTACACCAGAGGTTGAGGGGGGAGGATCACTTGAGCCTAGGGAGGTCAAGGCTACAGTTAGCCATGACTGTGCCACTGCACTACAGGCTGGGTGACAGACTAAGACCCTGTCTCAAAATACAAACAAACCAACCAAACAAAAAACCCCAAAACCTATCCTCATAGGGTCACTGTAAGAAATATACGTGAGAAACTGCTGCAACACCATGCCAGGCACACACCAAGGCATCGAAGATGATCTGCTGTGACAATGGTGCAAATTTTGCCTATCCTGTCAAATTTCACCTCTTTACCTTTTTATACTGTAGGCGTTTTATAGAGTAAAGTCTATTATTCTCCTTTGTAGTTTTTTCTATTGCCTTGTTAACCTTGAAAAATATTCTCTCTGCTAGAGGTCTGGTTCAATTCTATTTTTTTTCAATTCCATTTTTTCCTTTTGTAGTTATTTAAAATGTTTATCTCTGGCCGGGTGTGGTGGCTCTAGCCTATAATCCCAGCACTTTGGGAGGCGAGGCAGGTGGATCACGAGGTCAAGAGATCGAGACCATCCTGGTCAACATAGTGAAACCCTGTCTCTACTAAAAATACAAAAAATTAGCTGGGCATGGTGGCGCGTGCCTGTAATCCCAGCTACTCAGGAGGCTGAGGCAGGAGAATTGCCTGAACCCAGGAGGCGGAGGTTGCGGTGAGCCGAAATCGCGCCATTGCACTCCAGCCTGGGTAACAAGAGCAAAACTCCATCTCAAAAATAAATAAATAAATAAATAAAATGTTTATCTCTTTAATATCTGGATTTATTTTGGTGTGTGCTGTATTTGGTGAGGATCAAAATTAATTTCTCCTCACTAACTGCTTAATAGTCACTACACCACATGTGAGGAAGAATACATTTTGTAAAGTGATGCCTCCTCTCACAACACACCAACTTCTTAGGTACACTGTAGCCTCTTTCAGTGTTACAAGTTTACCCTCAAACCCATGATGTTTCTATCACTGGAACTTTGCATGTTTTCATCTATAACATTCTTATCCTTCCAGATGTCCTTTAGAATCACTTCTGAGTAAATCCACATATATGACATAATTTTCTGCTAAACTCCCAGTTTGGAGTTTCTGTCTTCAGTCTATATAGAACCTCCTTTTTGTTGTGCATCTACACACACTGGAGACCCTCCCCTCACTTGAAGATTTACATTTCTGACCATCATTCTCATCATCATTCTTGGTGATTCCAAAAGGACGATTCATCTAACACCGAAGCTCTTTGTTTGTTAAATTCCTCTTTTCCTTCTGATGACCTTGGCTTCCACTACTTTCACCCCAGGGCCATGTCCCGAGACCTTCCATGACAAATCACTGCAATCTATCGCAATTCCAACCTTCCCACAGGCCAAGCATCAGCCCCATGCTCCTAGCTCACCCTCAGCTCCAACAGCACTCTCACACCACCAGGAGCTCTGATACACTGATGCTGCTGTCCTCCCACCACTTGCCACTCCCCAGTCCTTACCTCTCTCCTCCAGCTGAGAGCCCACCACCACTCCCCCTTTTCTTCTCCTCCATCTTCCCATGTGCCTGACAAAGCTCAGCTTGGTTCAATCAGGTCTATCCTCCCCTAGTGTTTTCTGAGTACCCTCCAATGACACCTTTGGCCCAACGACACCACGTGAATATTGTACTTGCCTGGGCCCCCAGCAGCCTCCGTACTGGCAAGCCTAGCAGTCCATCCTTGGTCCTCATTTTGCCTTTCAGCAGTATGCAACATGCTGCCTGTTCCCTTCCCTTCAAACACTCTCTCTTCTGTCTATTTTGTTGCTGTTGAGACAGGGTCTCACTATGTTGTCCAGGCCGTTCTTGAGCTACTAGCCTCAAGTGATCCTCCTGCCTCAGCTTCCCAAAGTGCTGGGATTACAGGTGTGAGCCACCATGCCTGGCTTCATTGTCTTAACTGCCCTCTCTTTCTAGCTTCTTTTGCTGAAAGGATGAGTCCAAGGCTCATCCTTGGACTCTACTCCTACCCAGAACCTCGTATTTCCAAGACTCATATTTCCAAATGTCTACACAGTACCACTTAAACCGCCAAACTTAACATATCCAAAACCAAACTCTGAAACATTTCCCTTAACAAACATTTTTGTCCCACCTGTAGACTTTCTGCTTCAGATTACAGCCACTGCATCCTTCCCACTGTTTGGACCACAGTCCAGGAAGCCATCCTGACTCCTCTGCTTATCTCATATCCCATAGTCAATGCATCAAGAAATCTGCCTCTTTTCACTTCTCACCACTTCTGTGTTATGACCCAGGTCCAAACCACCATCATCTCTCCCTATTTTGTTGGAGCGGCTCTTTTACTGGTCTCCCCAGTGTAGCCCTGAGCCCCCCACCCCTGCCATGGTAGACTCTATACTGCTATCACAGGTCTCAACTCCTGCTGAGCCTTCCTGTTCTTGCTCAAAGATGAGCCTTCATCATGGTCTTGCAGGCACACTCCCTCCCGCCCCCACCAGCTCCCAGATTCACTGGGCACACTGAGCACATGTCCATGCTCCAGGGCCTCCTTCGTACTGGCTGTCCCCTCACCACTGTCCAGTCTTCCCTCAAATGTCATCTTCTCACTGAGACCCCAGCACTCACCTTCCAACTCCTCACAGGACTCTGCCCTCTGGGCTCATCTTCAAATCTCCTATACTACTCACACATCAGTCTCTTTTACAAGAACAAGACTCCTTGAGAGAAGAACAGTGCCTGGAACATGTCAGGCACTCAATAAATGTTTGCTATGTGGATGAGTAAATATTAATGTGGGAAAAAATGTATTTCATTTAGCCTTTCAATTTGTGAAGTCATTTTCTCTCTCAATGTCATTTTAGATCTTAAAACATTTATGATTTAAACCTTAGGAATCTAACTCATTTCTTGGTGAGATTACTTATTTCTGGATATTGATAACTTTTGATCCCACTATGTATAATTCTCTTTTTATCATTAGATACTCTGGCTATTACTAGCAAAAGATAAATAATTTAAAATTACTCTGTTATGAGTCCAATATAAAGACTCCTTTTATTAGTTCTAGTATTTTCCAGTGATTTATTTGTTCTAAGAGCTTTATTATCCTATGGTTTTTCTTAATATGAAATAATGTTACCTTCACTTCATTTTTGCCTTGTTTTCCAGTTTCTATTTAACTGTGTTGCAGTAATTCCAGAGCAACAAATTAAATGATAGCACACATCATTGTCTTTTCTTGATATAAACAGCAACCAGAATTAAATGTGAACTGTAATATTTGCCACTGGTTTGAAAAAGACTAAGAACTCTACCATTTTAAGGAAATAGCTTTAGGCCAGCTGTGGTGGCTTGCACCTGTAATCCCAGCCCTTTGCAAAGTGCAGATAGGAAGATCGCTTGAGCCTAAGAGTTCAAGACCAGCCTGGGCAACATAGTGAAACCCCATCTTTACAAAAAATAAACAAAATCAGCCAGGTATTGTGATGCACACCTACTCGGGAGGCTGAGGCAAGAGGATCGCCTGAGCCCAGGAGTTCAAGGCTGCAGTGAGCTGTGATTGCACCACTGCACTCTGCCTGGGTGACACAGTGAGACACAGTCTCAAAAAAAAAAAAAAAAAAAAAAAGGGAAAAAGAAAAGAAATATCTTTCTATGGGCATTTTTTTGAAAAAGGTCTATGGGTATTTTTTAAAAAACATTTTTATTAGGAACTGATGTTGAATTGTCTAATATTCCTTTCTAAACACCTAAGATGACTGTGGCCTTTCCTAACTTCCTAGTGTGTAAAGTTATATTGATAGATTCCCTTGTACTGCACTTTTATTACAAGTCATATTTAATCATAATGAATTACTGTTTTCAAATGTTGTATTTACTAGTATTGTTTCTGACTTTTCTATCTTCGTATTATTCTATGCTTTGTTACATTGTTACTTTTCTTAGGTTTTCCTTTTTTTTTTCTTAAGACAGAATCTAGCTCTGTCCAGGCACCTGGAGTGCAGTGGTGCAATCTCGGCTCACTGCCACCTCCATCTCCTGCCTCAGCATCCCGAGTAGCTGGGACTATAGGCATGTGCCACCATGCCCAGCTAATTTTTGCATTTTTTAGTACAGATGGGGGTTTCACCATGTTGGCCAGGATGGTCTTGATCTCTTGACCTCATGATCCACCTGCCTTAACCTCCCAAAAGTCCTAGAATTACAGGCGTGAGCCACCACTTCCAGTCGGCTTTCTTAGGTATTTTCCAGATATAACCCTGGCTTATATCTTCCTTTCAAGAATAAATATTGGTATGTTCTGTATAATTTTTCTTAAAAGCTCAAAAAAATGCATCCACAAATAATTTAGGACCAAGAAGCATTTCTGAAGACAGCCTTCCATTTCTTCATTGGTTATTATCCTGTTCAGTTTTTCCTAACTCTACGGTATCAATTATGAAAGTTTATATTTTCTAGAAAATTATTTTTTAGTATTTTGTTTAATTTTTTAGCTCAATAGTACAAACATCATATTGTAATATTTGATTTTTTTCTGCCTGAGTTAAATATTTTTGAAGATCTTTAACCTCTAATTTTGTCTAGGTTTTTTTCCTTCCCAACCCCCAAGTAAATATACCAAGTATATATGTCTCACACTTTGCTTTTCAAAGAGCCAGTTCTTTCTTATTCATTTACTTCTGCTTTTCATTGGTTTTTCTTCTTGTATGGGTCTGCCACACCTGCTACTAGGACCAGTGAGTCAGGAGGTCAACCCTACCTGTCTGGTCAAGGAGCCCCACTGGGGGGTGGGGCAGGAGAGAGAAGGCAAGGCTCTGGCTGGGCCTGAGGCTCAGGTTAGAGCCTTGCAAAAGTCCTCACTTGAGGCCCACCCCATGCTTGGGCACCCTTATAGACATGTGCACCAAGTTCCAGAGAAGCCCAACTAGACTTCGCTGTTAGTATTGTGACACAAATAAGGGCAAATTACACAGTTGTATTACCAAGCAATAACACAATGGTACTGTATCAGCTTCCACAAATGTGGACTCAATCAGTGGCCACCAAGATAGGTTTGTTCTCCTTTAAACCATCTACAGAGAATCTGCTAAGCATACACTGCCAATGGATTACAGCTGATGCCAACCTCTCACTCCTGCCCTATCTTCTCCCAGAGCTCCAGGCTCAATTCCAAGGTTTCTTGACATTTCCACCCCTACCCCTCAAGCTAGGGGCACCCCTTTCTGAACTGGTATATGTCCCCATAAGCCTGCTGTCCTTAGGGTCTCAGCAGAGGTTACCTCTGACTATCTAGGCACCCAGCCAGGAATCTATCTCATACCTCCCTGTGTCCTATCCTAAGTATTCCCAAATCAATCTCCTCTTCTCTACCTCAATTATCACAGGCCTAGCTCAGGCCCTGACAGTGTCCATCTGAACCACTGAAAGAACCTCCACTTCTCTGAGCTGTCACATGACCTCTCTGTTGTGCTTCAAAGCTTTTAATGGGTGCCTATCTCTTCCATGATAAGGTATACCCTCAGTAACAAGGAGCACAACCTTTCCATGATCCAACCCTGGCCCATCTGACCAGCCTCACCTTGTGCTGCTCCTTGCCTTGTCTATAAAGATCCAGCCATAGTAAAATGCCTCCAAATCCCCATTCACAACAAGACTTTCTCACTTATGTGGTACCTCCTGCCTGGAAAATCCTTTGGTCCATACCTGGACTGGATCACAGTCTCCTGAGTCAAGTCTAAATTGCATTCAACCTGATATACTTGTCATCTGAGTGTATAGTGCATGGGCAACCTTCCCCCTCTAAATTTATAAAATGTGCTTCTTTCCATACCAAGTTTACTTAAAACACATTGCAAACATACTCAAGGTCAAGCTGAGAATCTTTTCAGTGGGCATCTGTGAGGTGATTCCTGGGGAATAAACAAAGTGTGCTTACGGACTTAATGATCCACTGATGAAGGTATTGATTCTGTTCAGCAGGACAAACAGCAGAACATGGCAAGTTCTACATTAAAGATATAAACATATACCCCATGAGGGCACGAGTGGGGAGACTGAATGCAGCTGGAGACAGGTAGTGGAGCCGGTGACTGCAGAGATCTTAAGGAACAGGCAGGGTGTGACTGACTGTGATGGGGAGGGACAGTCCAGACACAGGGCTGCTTTAAGGACCAAACAGTCCCCCAGGGGATGTGGTGGTGCTGCTGATCTGACCCAGGTATCAGGGGCCCACCCACCCCAACAGGAAGCCCAACTCACCGCCTGAATGATTCCGGAGGATGGAGACACACCGCCACTGCTCCACATTGGCAAGCTTACCACTGGAGCCGAACACAGTGCTGGGGCCGATGTACCTGTGTGAAAAAGGGGCCAAAGAGGCACTCACGGAGTGCTCTGGGCACTGCACAGAAATGTTTCCTGCAGCCAGCTTATCAGGGCAGACAGAACAAAACAAAAACAAACAAAATCTGGAAAGCAATGAGTTGCTGAATAAAAGGGGCTGATTAGGTAAATTATGATCCATGCACTTGATGAAATACTACATAGCCATTACAAATCTTGCATGGGAAAATGTTCACAATAAGTGAAAGAAGCAGGCCACAGGACATCACATACAATATTATACCACTTATGTAAAGGAAAAAACCATATGACATGGATAGCATCTGCGCATGGAAAATGGATCAGAAGGACACACATCCCAAAATGATAAAATATTAACTGTAGCTTTTTTTTTTTTTTTTGGGACAGTCTCACTCTGTCGCCTAGGCTGGAGTGCAGTGGCACAATCTCAGCTGACTGCAACCTCCGCCTCCCAGGTTCATCAGGCAATTCTCCTGTCTCAGCCTCCTGAGTAGCTGGGATTACAGGCATGCATCACCACGCCCAGCTAATTTTTTTGAACTTTTTTTCAGTAGAGATGGGGTGTCACTACATTGGTCAGGGTGGTCTTGAACTCCTGACCTTGTGATCCACCCACCTCGGCCTCCCAAAGTGCTGAGATTACAGGCGTGAGCCAAAACGGGCCAACTCTAGCTTTCTTTAGGTGGTATGATAATGAGGGATATTTTTTCTTTTGTATTTTTAGTTTTCTAAATTGTATACTAAATGTTATTTATGTTGGCTATTTAAAGAAACAAAATCAACAGTATTTTATTTTTAAGCATCTCACAATGTATCAAATGGCTTTGACATCTGAGGCAGAGAAACCACATGATCTACAGCCCCCATTAAAGGAGCCAGAGGAACATCAGTCACCTGGAGCCTGGTGGAGGCAATGCTGACACACCGATGCTCAGAGCGTCTGTTAACACCCTTTGCTCTTGCAGAGTTCCTCACGAATCCACAGAAACAGTGTGTGCTGAGACAGCCAAATAGGCTGAAGAGACAGTCTCTGCCTCTGCTCTGGAAGCCACAGCCCCAGGGCCACTCTTGGTGAGCAATGGTCCAGGGTCTAGTGCCCCAGCCTAACTGGCCCAGAGACCTGGGAGCAATTTTCCAGGTGATGGTTAGCTCATTTTGATAGGAGAGCAGGGACTGCCCCAGGTGGAGTCCCAGAGAGAATAAAGTAATGGCAAAAAGGTTTTTTTTTTTTGCCATTACTCTGGATTCCCTGCCCCAGATCCCACCAGAGCACCCTGACTTTAATCATTTTGTATATTGGGCTTCCATGTGAAATTTCATTTGAAAAAACAAAACCAACGAAGCCACTCACATCAGTGCTAGAAGAGATTAGCCCTTCCTTTTCAGGTCGGAGCCTGGAGTCCTGTGACAGGGCAGCTGACTAGGTCACCAGGCAGGTCCATGGTCTCCTGAATCCCTTGTCAGGCTCCACCTGCTCCTGACCTACATGCACTTCCTGCTACTCATGAGGTTAGGGCTATGGGAACTTCAGTGACAGGGTGAGGAAAGGCGACTTTAATAAAGACCAGCAAAGAAGCTTCTAAAAATAAAATGTGAAGAAAGGAAAATGATGCTTACGTAGCCCGCTTCCACACCATAATCAGTTTGTCATCTCCCCCAGAAGCTAAATACATCCCACTGTTTGACCACCGCACACAGTTCACACATGCTGGGAAGAAAAAAAAATAGGGTGATGAAAATCCAATAGTCATGCCCATTTGCTTTATGTAGAGTTTGGCAAGATGTAAAGGGTTTATAAAAATCTAATCTATCTAATCTATTTAAGGCTTCTAGTGTGTGAGAGTCCCAGAAAAACAATTCAGTTTAAGCACTAACCTACTTGTGCTATAAAAACAAATTACCAGAACAGTCTGGAGGGGGAAAATACACATTATCTGAGGATCGTTAGTGCTGAATGACATAGTCAATAGAAGGCTTATTTCCAAGAAAATCAAAAATGATAACCAAATCTCATTATTTCAAAAGGGCCATCTATTGATGAGACATATTTCTGAGTAGAGATTATTCTCAAAAACAGAGTATGTGCTAAAAAGGGTCAGATATTTTTTTCTAGAATTTTCAGGTGAGCAGTCTGTTACAGAGTATAAAACTCTGACTTCATCTCATCTGTCAAAAGCCAGCCCTTTCACATTCGGGTTTTCCAAATTTGCCAGCACTGCAGATTGATTGACTCTGTGCTTATAAGCTAAGATCAGCAGAAATTCCCCCAGGCCCCTAATGGGCCAGAGCCTCCAAGAGCACTCACAGCTTGGCCTTTGGGATACCTGAAAGATGGCTATCAAAGTTGTAGCCACTACATGGCTTGTAAGTAACTTCTGCTCCAGGTCTGAAGACACTGAGAAGCATGTTAAGAGGACAAGAACACACAGAGCAAAGGAAGGAGCTGACGTCCGAAGGACAGTGACTATTCACTGAGCATCTCAGGGGTGGGAAACTAAGGCACTATAGCAGGAAAGGAAACCATGACACTGTCTGATGGCCAAAAGGGTCCCCTGGCAGAGAGCCTCAGAGTGACAAAGTGCCAACCTAGATGTTTTGGCAAATTGTCTCTTGTACACCCTTCCCCAGAACCCTACTGTGTCCAGGTCGCTGGCCCCAAAGCCCCATGGAATCAGGCAGTAACGACTCATGAGCAGGAAATCACCAGAGGTACCTGCAGACTGTCCAAAGATGGTTCTGTGGGCGGGCCGAGTCTTCTGCCGAATAACTCACCCAGGTGTGCAGCCAACATCTGTGCCTTCAGACAGCAGGCCGAGGGGAGTTACCGCCGCACGGGGCCTTATCTTTCTAATTACAAACACATGTGCTAACCTTGGGCACTCTGCCAACAAGCAAAGCCTGCAAAGGGCCACTCTGTAATACCTAAGTGATTGTCCATCTGGCAAAGCATCTTGGGAATATTTTCATCCTTCTCATCATCCTCCTGGAGGACTGGAGACATATTCCAGATCACAACCTTCCCAGAATCCTGCCCTGGAACGAAGGAGCAGAAATGTGCAAGGAGTAGAAATTTGATATTAATATTTAACGTCAAATTAAATATTATAGGAGAAGTCCTCACTTAGCTTCCATAAATCATAATTAACTAGATCTAAGGAGACTGAATTTAAATTACTAATTTAAGTTACAGAAAAGATGATAAGTACTCATGGGGACCAAACAAAGTGGATTTAGCAGTCAGCAGAAGTCAACCTGACTTTATGAAAAGAACTCTGAACTAACAATAAGGAGGGAACTGAGCTCTGGTCTGGCCTCTAACATGAGGAGAAGGGAAAGTCAGTGTCGCAGGACCTTTTCCAATCTGTGTATACTCTAAAAAGCAAACAGAAAAGCACACCCTAGTGGGGCTTCCCTCCCTTTCCAGGTGCCGCCTGGAATCCAGGCTGTTCCAGAGCTAACTGTTTTGAAACCTAAATGTACCCTGAACACAGGAAAAAGGGCTCATTATCTTGTTATCTACCCTTTGCAGTTACCCACAGACAAGAGACCAATCAAAAGAGGGTATGGCTCCTATGGTCATGAGTTGATGTATTGCCAGCTGAAAAATATACCCATGCCTTTTAGTAATTTCTTTTTTTTTTGAGATGGAGTCTCGCTCTGTCTCCAAGGTTAGAGTGTAGTGGCGCAATCTCGGCTCACTGCAACCTCTGCCTCCCAGGTTTAAGTGATTTTCCTCAGCCTTCCGAGTAGCTGGGATTACAGACACATACCACAACACCCAGCTAATTTCTGTATTTTTAGTAGAGGCGGGGTTTTGCGATGTTCGCCAGGCTGATCTCAAACTCCTGACCTGCCTTGGCCTCCTAAAGTGTTGGGATTACAGGCATGAACCACTGCGCCTGGCCTTAGTAAGGATTTCTAAGTTTTCCATCACTGATATCTAAAAAAGTTTAGCCCCTCAGTTAATTTTCTATTATAATGGGGCCAAATCCAATGAACATGCCAAAATTACCATGAAGCATGTTTGAAACTGCCACTTGGCCAATATATAAAAATATTTCCTAAACCAAGGTGGTAAAATGTGTATCTTCTGGGAACAGGCACAAACCCTCTGATTCCTCCAGCTAAGTCCATGTGTTCTCTCTCATATGCTGCACCTCCTCCTCTCCAGTACAATCCACAGCATGAAAGAAGGAGAGAAAGGCTTCCCTGTCCACAGCTTCCCTGCATTCCCTTCCAGCTCCACTCTGGGTAGAAGCATCTGCTGGAAACTCACCCTGCAGCACCTGGCCTGAGGACATAGAGCTCACAAAGGCACTATCTAAGTGTTGCCTGGGGAGGCCCTGCTCTGGGGTAAAGATGCCAGGGGGCTGGGCTCTGTGGAAAGCTATATTGTGTTACTATATATACATCTTGGTGTCCTGGCATGAAGAACAGCTCTTATCTTTCCAAACAGAACCATGCAATGTTGCAAAAGATGCTGGCTGAAGCACAAGAGCAATACTAGGAATAACATTTTCTAATGGTATGGGCTTTACTTGTCCACGGTATACACGGTATACTTTCGCTTTAACCCAGCTGAATTCCTTTGACCAGAAAATGGGCCTAATAATTACATGATTGCTTTAGAAGCTTAAACCACCTCCCCCCCAAGCCCCCACATTCCCTTTTTTCAGAAGAGAAAAATGCTGACAAAGCCCTTGCTTCTGGGGCTGGGCTCTGCCCACTGGACCACCTCCCACTCTCCATGCTCAATATACTTGGAGATACAAACTGATTTTAATATTAACTCAATAAACAGAAATTACAATGATAAACCTGCTGCCAAAATATTTACAGAGTGCACACTAAAGCCATAAAAGGATTTTCAGTGTGGTTGTGATGCTATTTAAAGTGTACGTAATTGTACAAGTATTCCCTCTACAGCTAAATGGAGAGCAGGAGAAAAGCGAGGTGTCAGGGCTGTTAAGCTTTTCCTTTCTTTATTCCATAAACATACCTTGTCCTCCAGTTGCAAACTTGGTCCCGTCAGGGTGAATATCAACTGAAAAAATAGGCTTGCCTGGAAACAAAAAAAGCCATACAATATCTAAATTAGCTTTTATTCACTGAAGCGTATCAAAGTCAAAAATTTAAAATATTGGTTATCTAAGTAACATCTCTAATTTCTGCACTTAGGACAAAATAAGAGACTACATATATTACCTGTAAGTAAGGGTTGACTGCTCTAAAGGATTCAGTTAAAGTCTAAACTGCTAGAAGATTCTCGAAACATTAGACGGCCAAAAGTCCAATAGTGGGAGAAAGCATTCCATCACTGAGAAAGGCTGAGCCCACAGGATGCCTGGGCATTTGTCTGCCATCTTGCAGGGATTTGTGTTTGTAAAGGCTATGAGCTGTTCATAATTAAAGTTCTGAGTCACAGGTACGTAGTGAAAAGAGAACACAGCTATAACTCCAGACATCTCCCTACTGTACAGATCTGTACTTGACTGGCAGCCTGGACAGAAGGAGCACTATTTGTCTTTTCCAACTGGCTGGCGGACAGCTGAGCAGGACCACAACTGGTCCTGCAACCAAGGAGCACTGCTGGACTTGTCATACTTCTGCTTCCAGACAGCCCTCTTGTATGTTTGTGGTGTGAAGTTCACATAAAGCCTGCCATCTCGGCATCTCCTGTGGCTGAACCTCCTCCACAGCCTGTATTCTATGTTAAATTAGCTGTTCAATTCCTCCAGGAGAAAGGACTGTGGCTATTAATTCTGAGAAGCCCCAAAGGGCCCAGTATGGGCCTACGCTTGCACTAGGAGCCCCTGAACTAGCTGGCTGGCTGGATGGGTGGATTGGACGGGCAAAAGCACTGTAGGAACTTGAAACCCAGTAGACCACAGAAGGGACTCATGCCTGGTGGGCATTTGTCCAGCTCCCTGCTTCTAGGCCAAAGGTACAGGAGTTACAAGTGGCATGTCAGTTGCTGTTAAGTTCATCACCACACCTTCAGCCTCTAGCATAGTTCTCAGTGCATGATAGCACAGTAAAATTTTGTTCAGTGACAAAGGAGATACATGACAATCAACTGAGCATCAACAATCGCTGATATAGACAAAGGGCTTGTTGCCAAGAGTGTCTTAATTGAACATGTTCTGTCTCTGTCACCCAAGAGGAGGCAATGTGGACACAGAATGAGAGTCACCAGCTCTAGAATCACTCAGCAAGCACTGAGGTCAGGGGTGTGTGGGCAGGCAGTGGCTGCCTGAGAATTGTGAAGTCCTGCTAGGGCTCCCATGAAAGTGTTGAAAATCAAATGCTGGTGCCCAAAAGGCAATGCCCAGCATGGGACCCAGGCAGCACCCAGCTGTGAAGAGCCACAATCATGCAGTCAAATCAACCATGAGCTTGAGAGAAAATACACTTTCTTTCTTACTGGTCATTATGTAGTATAGGTTGAGTATACCTTATCTGAAACACCTGGGATCCATTTTAACCAAAGGGAAATGACAAAAGCAATGTTGCTCCAGTTTTAGGCGTAAGCCTAAAGAGTTTAGCAGTTCAACTTTTGCTCTCTGGCGAAATCTAGTTGCCATGTGAGAAGCCCAAATACCCTGAGACTACCATGTTTTGAAGAGGCCCAAGGCGGCCATACATAGAGCGTCGAAAAGCCCAGACAAGTGAGAATCAAGGCCCCAGACACAGGCCTGGTGAGGTGTTCTATCCCCAAGCTATTTGAGCCATCCCAGCAGATTCCATAGAGCCAAGATGAGCTGGACCTGCTACATCCCGACAAGCTGTAGAATTATGAGCAAATAATAAAGTTGTTATTGTTTTAAGTCAGCAAATTTAGGGGTTTGTCATATAAGAGATGACCCAAAATGCCAATTCATTTGCTTTTCTGCTTGAGCCAACTTAAGCTGGGCGTTTGTCATTTTGACAAAAAATGTTCTAGATGACAGCCTCAGTCTTGATAGGCAATCAGGATGGAACATTCCCCTCCCATTGGAGTACTTTTCAGTTCCAGGTGTCTGTGAGATGTTGTATGATATCAGTCCCTTCAAGAAGCACATGAGAAACCCTTACCTGCAAGTCACAGGTCCCCCAACTACCCAAGACCACACGCAAGGTGAGCAAGGCCACCCTGAAGGCTCAGCTGCACAAGTATCAAGTAGAGCCCATGCACTTTAGATCATGCCCACTCACAGCATCAACTGCATGTTGTCTCCCTTAGTCTCTGCAGATTTCTACTATGGGCCAGGCATTAGGCTAAGCAATGAGAAAGCAAAGATACATAATCATACAACTCCCCTAGTAAGATGTTCAATGAGGGACACTTCACAAGTAGAAAGCCACCAGACTCAGCCTGGGGCTTCCTGCAGAAATAATAACTGAATTGGGTCTCAAAGGTTGAGTAGGAGTTAGCCAGAAGATTGGGTGAGGGAGAGGAATTTCATGCTGAGGGGATGCACAGCAAAGAATCAAGAAATAGGCTGATGTGCTGCTGCAGAGCAGAGTGCAGGTATAGAGTGTGAGACAAAAGGGGAGACAAAGATGGCCAGGGCTCAGCAAGCATCAGTAAGGAGCTCAGACATTTCTCTAAAGGTACTTCTGAGGCAGGGCAATGCCAAGGTCACATTCACATTCTGGCTCCACAAAAGCAGTGTGGAAAATGGGGGTGGGGGCCTCATAGCTCCAGGGGAAGGCAGGGATGGAGGCTGCCAACAGGTTAGGGTTTTGGCATTAAACATCCTGGGCTGAATCTTCAGCCTTTCCACTTACAAGTTACAAAGCATTAAGGAAATTATTTAATCTCCTCTAACACTTGTTTCTTAATCTGCAAAAATGTGGAGGACACATTCACCATCACAAACACCTTGTGAGACATATTAAGATGCTGCGTCACATTACTTCTAAGATGCATCCATTTCACATGATCAGGACATACCTTGGTGGAAGGTGTGCCTGGTTCACTGGCACCATGTTTCCTTTCTTACTGCTGTGCAGGAGATTATATGAAATATGATAGGGGACTTACACAGACACCAGTGCAGTGCTGGCTCCCCACTTCCTCATAGCACTAGGCCTTTCAGTCCCAAGAAAAGCAGTCACTCACATTCCATCAGTGGGAATAAACCTCTTCTAAAGGGCTCTCTGAGGTGGAGCTGAGGAAAGGGACCTTCTGGCTGACCTAGTTAGAGAACTCTTCCTGTGGCACAGCATAATGACAAAGATGAATTCCCAACTACCTCCAGTGTCTGGCCTTTCTTTATAACAGAGACAGAGAGAAAAGACAAATTAACACACCCTAGACTCCAGAGACACCAAGCAATCACCTATCCTTAGATCAACCCCAGATCAGAATGTTGTCCCTGCACAGCCAACACAAAGCCAATATAGTCACCCACTGTTTACTGTCTGGAGGTTTGCTGATTTGACAACAGCAGCATAAATGCTTTCCATCTGGAAGGGAATAAAGAATACATTAAGGAAGCTGGGATTATGACAGGGCATGCTGAGGTAGAATCGTACCCTCCTTCACACCAGGGGAAGATTCCTAGAGGAGGCCTAAACAGGGGAACTTAAACTCTGAGCAGAGAAAGGTGGCCGGAGGCAAAGCAGAGAGGGCACAATGCAGAACAGCTTGCCCTTCTCTCTCAGCAGTCCCACAGACCTTTGGTTTTGCTCCAAAAAGTCTCTGGGCTTTTATACTATGATAGTTCTTGGATAGAGGTGATTGGAACACATGTGCATATGTCCTTTTGGAATGAAGCTTGGGAAAGTTGAGGGCTTTTTCCAGTGAATGTTGCTCCTGGGAACACTTTTCCCACACTGCCCAACAGAACTTGGTTTTAACCAATGTTGACAAATTTAGAACTAAAAATGAGAAAATGTTCAAAACATTTATTATATATAACAGTTACAAAACAATATTAAAACATAAGGTGGGGGCTGGCACAGTGGCTCACGTCTATAATCCCAGCACTTTGGGAGGCTGAGGCAGGTGGATCACTTGAGGTCAGGAGTTCGAGACCAGCCTGGCCAACATGGCACAGCATTGTACTCCAGCCTGGGAGACAGAGTGAGACTCTGTCTCAAGGGAAAAAAAAAAAAAAAAAAAAAAAAAAATTATATATATATATATATATAATGGGTGCAAACAACACAATCTTTTTTTTTTTTGAGACAGAGTCTCACTCTGTCACTTAGGCTGGAGTGCAGTGGTGTGATCTCAGCTCACTGCAACCTCCGCCTCCCAAGTTCAAGTGATTCTCCTGCCTCAGCCTCCCGAGTAGCTGAGACTACAGGTGTGCACCACAACGCCTGGCTAATTTTTGTATTTTTAGTAGAGACCGGTTTTGCCATGTTGACCAGGCTGGTCTCAAGTGATCCATCTGCCTCCACCTCCCAAAGTGCTAGAATTACAAGCTTGAGCCACCCCATGCAGCCACTAACAATATAATCTCAAATGTAGAAAACCCTAAAGATTCCACAAAAAAAAAAACTGTTAGTGCTAATAAATGGATTCAGCAAAGTTGCAGATACAAAATCAACAAACAAAAGACAGTTGCACTTCTGTACACCAACAATGAACAATCTGAAAGAAAAATTAAGAAACCAATTCAATTTACAACAGAATGAAATCAATAAAATTCGTAGGAATAAACTTAGCCAAGGAGGTGAAGACTTGTACACTGAAACTATAAAACATTGCCGAAGGAAATCAAAGACACAATTACATAAAAAGACATCATGTGGCCGGGCGCGGTGGCTCAAGCCTGTAATTCCAGCACTTTGGGAGGCCGAGGCAGGTGGATCACGAGGTCAAGAGATCGAGAACATCCTGGTCAACATGGTGAAACCCCGTCTCTATTAAAAATACAAAAAATTAGCTGAGCATGGTGGCTCGTGCCTGTAATCCCAGCTACTCAGGAGGCTGAGGCAGGAGAATTGCCTGAACCCAGGAGGCGGAGGTTGTAGTGAACCAAGATTGTGCCATTGCACTCCAGCCTGGGTAACAAGAGCGAAACTCCGTCTCAAAAAAAAAAAAAAAGACATCATGTATGTGTTCAT